TTGTGCGAGCGTCTGTACAAAAGCGTCATGCACGTTGTTGTTTGCACGTTGATGTATGCACGTATATGTATTAAGACATCCACGTCCGTGTGTAACCGCCCAATAGCAAGACTGCAGTTTTGTGCGAGCGTCTGTACAAACGCGACATGCATGTTGTTGTTTGCACAATGATGTATGCACGTATATGTATCAAGACATCCACGTCCGTGTGTAACCGCCTGTTAATAAACAAATATTACATCAATCATCAAAACAGAAACTATCACTTTTCCTTTGATTGAACTGAACCATTTGCCGACAATGCTGACTTACGATAAAGAATAAAAGGTGAAGATGAGGTCGATAAAATAAATAAGAAACAGCAACATTTTATTTCTTATTTTTTGCTTTTGTTTTTTAAGAGCGGTAGGGGCGCCACACGTGTAGGGGCGGGGGGGCCGTCGCCCCCCCTGCCCCCCTACTCTGGCTACGCCACTGGGATGTATCCCTAACCGTAGGCGTAGCCAGCCTTGCGGGGCGGCAGGGGCAAACATATGAGGGGGCGCATAATTCTTTTGGAGGAGGGGGGGGGGGGGGGGGGTAAAAAATGGATGTTTGTATGCTTTTGTACTATTTGCTTATTGGGAGAAAATACTGAAGACGAAAAGCCCGCCGGAGGCGAAAAATTTCCCCGGGTGCCACGCCCAAAAACGTTTATTTCAAGCCTTCAAAAACTATTTTTTTTTTGGGTGCACTCCTAAAAACATTTATGTATTAAAAGAAGTAATGTGTGAACGTAACGTTAACTTAAAAAAATCCTTCCGGACGTCTCCGGACGCCTTGAAAATTAGAACAAATCCGTGGAAATCCGGAGGGATGACAGCTCCTAGTTTGATAAACAAATAAATACATTGAAATTCATAATAATTGTTTTTCAAATTTGTTTTTCAGAAATTATTAGTGAAGTGGCAGAAAAAATCGGCGGTATACGGTACTTTTATTTTAACTACATCAACCATCAAAACAGAAACTATCACGTTTCCTTTGATTGAACTGAACCATTTGCCGATAATGCCAACTTACGATAAAGAATAGAGGATGAAGAGGACAATAAAATAAATAAGAAACAGCATAATTTTATAATTTCTTGTTTTTGTTTTTTAAGCGCGGTAGGGGCGCCATACGTGTAGGGGCGGGAGGGGCCATCGCCCCCCCTGCCCCCTACTGGCTACGCCACTGTCCCTAACTGGACTGGTGATATCCTTATATTTAAGTACCTCAGGCAGGAATCATAATTCTATTTTGCATTATTTAGATATTATAGGTATAGTTGGTTAAGGTTAAGCTCAGCATCAGAGTTATCCAACTGAACTTTGTTAAGTTTAGAATAAAGACACTATTTATTTTTGGTGAACTTTCAGGTTTCAGTATACCTTAGGCCTACTCCAATAATCCCCCAATTATTTTATTCGATATATAATTAGTCTTTAGTCACAGACTCTGATTGATGAAGGTTAGGTAGGTATTGGGTATTGCACGTTGTATATGTTCAAACAGCACCTGTCGCCAAATCTGAGGAGCCTTCCAGTTTGGAACCCATTTGAAATTAAAATAACATACATTTGACATCCATCATTTTTGGCAGTGTTTAAAGCAAATTGAGTTTCATTGGTGGGAGCTAGAAGATCTTCAGATTCATCCACGATGATCTTCAAAAATTAGAAAAATGATAAATCATAGAATGCTATACTTAAGTGCAAAAATTTTACCATAAAAAAGGATATGTACCCTCCAAACTTTTTGAACCAAGATTTTTGGAAAACAGAGGAGTAAATAGGGTCACTTATAATTACTACGCACTCGTACGCGTGCAATGATTTTATCATAATTTCTTGTAGAAGCAAGTGAAGAGTTTCATCATTGCTTTCTGATAGGTCTGTCTTAATATCTTCTTTGATGGTTCTGTTTCTAAATTTGTATAAATAAATATTATTGAAAATTTCAGGTTGTCAAATGATGTGATTAAAATGAGAAATCTATTTTGGTAAATGTTTCATTTCAAAGCAGAATCGTAAATGAAAATTTAATTTTATTTGCCCTACCCTAATAAGAGTGCAGCTTATTGAAATAAGGAACAGTATTTTTTAAATTGCATGCGCTACAAAAATATAGATAGGTGCTTCTCTTTACCTTTCTGATCTCACGTAAGCCAACAAAACCAAAATTATGGTATATTTGAAATATATTCTTGAAATAGATAATCTGAACATTGTGTTCCCTTTGTTTTTTCTTGAATGCCTCTAGTTTAATTTAGGTTTAAAAAGGGTAAATTAATCTTTATGCATTTTTAATTCACATTAATAATTTAGAACCAATTTTCTTGTTAATCAGCTTTCCAACTAGAAGGCAGTTTTTTCTCGCAACAGACAGGCCATTAACTTACATTTATTTACTTGAAAAGTTCAGCCTTTATTTGATTAAAAAACGGAATCCTCAATTGAAAAAAATTGCTGTGATATCTTCAACTCAGATTTCTATTCGGCAGCAAGAAACAGTTCGAACACACACTCTGGCAGGGTTTATTTTGCATTGCTAAAGCTAAAATAAGCAATCTCTGAAATCTTTTGATAAATCCCATAATAATTCATGCATAAAAATCTACCGCGGACCAAAAAAAAAATAACACAATATAGATTGGATTTTAATAAATCAATTTTACCACGCTTACGAACCTAACACCTGCACGGTCTTTTAGCCCTCAGAGAGTGCAATATTTCAAAAAAACGAAGCACACTGCATTTGCAAGCCTCATCAAAAAGCCAAAAAGTAATTTTTTTAAATCCCCCTCAACAATCAAAATTGCCACTCCATGTGCACTACAGCTTTTTCTGATGTCAGCACTGTCTGTGATGGTTCAACTTTTCAAAAATACCCATTTACAATTATTGTTTGATCAAACCCTACGCCCCACACTGAAACCCCATGATTATTTGTTAAAGTCATTTTATGTGCGTGCGTGGTGCATCTGGGTTGGAGCCAAAACTTTGATGTGGGCATTTTGAAGAGCCCAAAAATCAGAGACTCTATTATTTAGATTATAAAATTGTGAAACGATCCGAAAAAAGTATATCCATTATCCAATAAACTAAATGCCTGCCAGCCCGTCAACCTGTTTAGGACAAAGCTAAAGGAATATCGTCAATATGCCCCGATCAGTCATCAAAATTATCTTGATAGTATTGAGGGTAGAGTGCAGGAAAGGGATGGGTTCTGGAGTTACATAAACTCAAAAAAAGAATCAAAAGGTTTTCCTTCTTCAATGGTGTTTGGGGAGCAAAAAAGTGATACGCCTCAGGGTATTTCAAATCTTTTTTGTGAGCATTTCTCATCAGTATAGGTACACATCCTATGACCACAAAGAGATGAATATATCTAGTGACCTCTCTGTCAATCTAGGTGATATCATAATAGAACCCATAGATGTTTATAACAAGATTTATCAACTTAAAAATGTAGGATGTGGTCCAGATGGTTTTCCTGTGTGTCTTCTAAAAAACCTTCGAGAGAGTCGATCATAACATCCTTTCAAAGATTAAAGAAATTGTCAGCACTGGGCTTTCATGGGACATTTTTTAAATGGCTTATCGACTATCTTTCATATAGAAAACAAAGGGTTAAAATTGAAAACTATCTGTCTGATGTAATTGAGGTTACATCAGGAGTCCCTCAGGGCGGGCATTTGTCTCCTCTCTTGTTCAATTTATTCTTGAATGATGTTAAACAAAACTTTGTAAGTTGTAAATTTTTAAACTTTGCAGATGACATGAAATTTTTTATTGTAGTTCAAGGTTTGCAGGATTGTGATACGCTGGAGAACGAGCTGAATGGGTTTTTTGAATGGTGCGAATCAAATAATCTTTCTTTAAATATTGATAAGTGTAAAATAATGTCCTTTAGTCGTCTGAAAAATCCTTTCATTTTCAACTATTCCGTCAATAATGTTGCTCTAGAAAGAGTGCATGTTATTAGAGATCTAGGGGTGTTTTTAGATGTAGAATTAAATTTTCCTGCCTGTATATAATCTAAGGATAGGATTATTAATAAAGCCATGAGGTTATTGGGTTTTGTATTGCGCAATTTAAAAGATTTTAATAGTATTTTTACACTGAGAAATGCATATTCTGCAATTGTTAGGCAAGTACTAGAATACTCTAGTCCAGTTTGGTCTCCCTTTTACGAAAATCAAAAGTATGCAATAGAGCGAGTTCAAAGAAAATTTTAAAGACAAATCGCATTTAGAATGAATATCAATTATGACTATACAAAATCATAAATAATATCATAGAGTCACCGGATTTGTTATCACTTATTGGTTTTCATGTACCTAGAAATTGTAATGTTAGAACAAACAGACGAACATCATCGAACTAATTATGGCTTAAATTCTCCCATCTCAAGATTCTGTAGATTGGCTAACAATATCATTGAAAGAATGAACATAGATTTTTTTAATGTTAGTTTAAATTCCTTTAAAAAAAGAATTAAACATGTTTAATTTGCAACATCAATGTCAGTGTTGCAACAACTATTATTGTATTGTATTTTTTAGTATCTTTTTGTTTTTGTTATTGGTTTTATGGTACACTCAGTGGGTTTTTACGTTTTACCTAAAAAAAAAACTTGTGATAAAGTAGCTTGAGAATAATCCTATTTTGCAATGTTCCTTGTTGTTTATTACTGTTTAAATTATTTACAATTTTTTTTTTTTAGTTATTATTAGATATTGTTTTTGTAAACATTTCAAATGACACTTGTCGAGGACCTTCCCTTTGTTAAAGCAAACTATAGTTACCAAAAGTTTATTTCCTTACCAACAAGCATAAAGCGAATATTAATTCTTCATGTTGCAATGGGCTATATTTATTAGAATAATTGTATCTTTTTCAACCACAAAAAGTGTATGATTGTTGAAAATTAAACTCGACATTTGAAAACAAACATTTATTTTAATAGAAAATACCTATACATTGTGGGAGTGAATCCCAAAAAAAAATAGTAGAACAGTACTAATAGCACTAGAAACCAATAGCATAGTGAATTTTTTTAAACTAAATTCACTGGGAAATGGGTCTACTGGATGCGCCGCTACGTATTGTGGCGTTCAGGTCATTTTCACAGTTAGAATAGGCCATTCCGATGCCGAAGCCACCTCCCATCAAGATTGGCCATCCCTTTCTCTTGAAAAATAATAGGGAAAATAGTGAGCCCAAGACAATTCCTCCGCCTGAAATCAGATAATTATTTCTGTTCAATTTTCTATGCAATTCCATTCCATTCCATTATTTTAAGTCTTAATAATAATTACAACCTGACCGCTACTTTAATTTTTCAAATACAAGCCTATTATGAACCCAAACAACAATCAAGTCCGATATAAAGCATTCTAGAGAAAAATATTTTCTAGAATGTACCTAGTTCTGATAAACAGGACTAAATTTACTGGTTTGAGCATCCTGAAAAGTGCAAGCTACACCAATTGCTTTCTGCTATTTAGAGGACATCACATAGTAATGCCCTGGAGCAATCGGGTGAATTTCAACTATTCAAATCTCAATTTTCATACAAAGATCTGATATAAATATAAGGTACTAGGTAGTACATTATAACAGAGATTTACTGTATGCATAGGAATTCCTGCAGGAGTAAGAGGTTTATAATACATTAGGTAATAATACAAAATTTCCTAGAACTCCTAGAGGTAGTACAGGTGTCTGTTTCCCTATTAAACAAAAACACTACCATCAGCTCTACCAACGAATATGGAGACAAGTGATCCTATAAGATTATAGGCTTCACTGTAGAGCAAAAAACATACCATTATTAACATAATTTAGAGCATTTTCAAACTACCTTGTTATTGTAAATGACTAGATCGAGTTTTCAATTATTGTTTATAGATAGTGAAGACAAATCTTGATAAAACCCAAAATAAATGGCCCAAAGCTGTTTTTAGATTTGTAAAGTAGCTGTCCTACAATCTTAACTATCTGAACACAGATATTAACGTAAATTAATCATCATGAGTGTAGATAAAGAGATACAAAGTAGACCAAGTATATTATGACCTGTGGGAACTGGTAAATTTATAACTTCCTCACATGTTAGGATGACATAACAGGATGCTACCAAGTAAGGCGGATACCTGAGTACCTACCAAATTTGATAACGGTATCGGAAACACATTTGTCCCATTTTTTGCCTAGTTCCTCTTCGGTATACACAGGTGAACTCATTGTCGGTGTTCCAAAAGGGTAAGGGGTAGAAATTAGGACTAGAGCGCTCGTTTATTGTCGCGAGCGATTCAAAAAAACTTCGATACCAGCTAGGAAAATTTACGCTATATACTCTTTTAATATGCCACTAGAGTCTAGTAATTTTCTAATTTATTTTAAAACTTGGCCAAATTTTATTTTTAATTAGGGATGGATAAACTTGAAATCGACATTCGTATTCGTAATGAGTTGAAGTTGACATTGACAAGTATGAAACTAGAGTCCTTTTCACGTGGCTCTGGTTCAAACTAACCGGGTTACAAAACAGTTAGTAGCGGTATGTCAAGTGATGTCATTGAAAATACCACTTGAAATCGAACCGTTAGAGAAATGTTATTTTAAATTAGGAAATCCAATGCCTCTCAATATTTAATATTTATATTAGGTTGATGTAGCCTCTAGTAACTGCACTAAAATTTCATGTGTATCTTGAAAAAAAATATCCTCATTATGTATTTTAACTTTAATTGCTTCCACCATGTTCGTCAACTGATTAGAGTCGCTTTCCAATTCCAGCTGTGTGCTTCAAGCACGGTGCAGCACATTGTTCTGTGTTTGAGACGCAAAAGTTAGCAGCCCTCGAAGCGCAGTACGGCTGGAACACGAACACGCGCTTGAAGCATTTACGCGCGCAAAAGCTCGATTGCGTGCTGAAAAGCGTCAGCTGGGCTGGGATCACGACAAGTAGAATTCTACTAGAATTCTACTTTCATGACGTCAGGTAGCCTAGCAACCGTCATCATCGCCTGTACTGTACGCGATAAATAGGTCGCGGGTGACGTCATGGAAGTAGAATTCTACGTATCGTAATCCCAGCCCAGGAAAGCGGCTTAGGTCGGTAGACACTTTAAAATAATGTGAAAGTTTTTGGATTCATTTTCTCTGCTATTCCATCCATAGACGCGTTTCGACCTATCAGATCTCGACGACTTTAATTTAAAATAACCAAAACAGAACGAAACACACAATTTTTTATTCAAGTTTAAAGTCTAGTGCTCATAACTGCGAAATTCGCATTTTTTTGACATTGCGTTGACAATTTGACGTTTTATGCATGTAGCAAACGTCAAATTGTCGAAGCAATGTCAAAAAAATGCGAATTTCGCAGTTATGAGTACCAGGCTTTTGCCTAGTACTCATAACTTCGAAATTCGCACTTTTTTGACATTGCTTCGACAATTTGACGTTTGATTCACGCATAAAACGTCAATTTGTCGAAGCAATGTCAAAAAAGTGCGAATTTCTCAGTTATGAGTACTAGGCTTTACACCTGCACAATGTTCCCGCTCTAGGTTTTTCATATATTTTCTATTTTTTTTGTTTTAACCGTTAAACGTAACAACGTAACCATATCGCCGAGTTGGTTAGAGAAATGACATACCGTTTCCTAACCCGGTTACAAAGTGACGTTTATTAAACCGGAGCCACGTGAAACAGGCTTTAGGTCTGTTCCAGAGTGGCCGGATTATGAACATCCGATACGGAAAGATTACGAGTCGAAGGTAAAAGCGAAGCGTATACGCATCGTATCGAACGAAAAAGCGATTACGAACACACGAAAAGGCTTTAATCAGCTGTCCGCAATAGGTCGTTGGATTGCCCCAACGACCTGTCAAAAAGAAATTCAAAATGGAGGTCAATGCCTTTTTATTTTAAAAAAATGCCGTTTATTGCGATTTTTGATTTGTATAGAGTCTGTAAAGTGTTGATTTTTTGGAAAATGCATACGTTATGTATTGTACTTAGTTGTGGGAGCCGTTCTAATCGCGAGAAAGTCTCGTTTCATTCCGTTCCTGCAGGGACAAAACACAGGTTTTTAACGGAGAAATACGATTTGTTTGTACTTTGTAAGGGCTTCATGAATTGTAGCGAAGAAAAAAAAATCTGACGAAATGCATATTAACCGTGCGTTCGTTATTTTCGTCTGAGTTCTCCGAGCATGACTTTACCGTTCGTTTATTCAAAAAGTGTACTCGGTGCTGCCTCATTCGCGTTCGTTTATTAAAATTGCTGGCACTTTTATATAGCGTTCAACTGCTCTGTTCCCTCGCTGGTCACGTGATTACGGCTCCGCTCAGCACGCTCTGCTCTTCGAGCAAAATACCGAACGCAAGGTAAATAACCAAAAAGTCTCTCTACATAAACGGTGTATGGATCCAAGCCATTCACTATCCTCCACATCAACTTGTGTCGATACCCTGAATAGCAGACAAATAAAATATAAAACATGCATCAGGATTTTGTTAAGAAAAACTAAACAGGAAACAAATCCTGGATAGTGCCTACCTAATTGTTTAGTAGGTGAAGGTTTGTCACCAAGAAATCATAACTTTTGCAAACATCCGGGTTTTCCACTAATAATTTCTTAAACCAAAAACTCTCCATCTTAAAATACGAAAATTATCCCTCCAAGCAGGGGCGACCCATGGGGGGGGGGCAACGCCCCCCCCCCCCCCCTATGTCCACTCTAGTTGGTAAAAGAAAATGTCTAGTTGGTTTCCAATCCCCAAGCCAGTTGGTAAGAGAAAAAAGTCTTAATACTTGACTTAAACACGTTCTGGAGAAAGGAATTTTCTAAAGTTTTAGATACTTTATTAAGTTTTTTAAACGATAATTTAACTACTATTTTCAAAAATCTGCGCGGATTCACCTGTTTATTTTCATTTTTTCTCTCTAGACATAATGTACCTATCTATGACAAATCTCAATTTAGTACTTGATTTATATTATATCCTCCAAATTTTAGACCAGATGCATACGCTCTTGCAGCAGAGATTGAAATTGTCTTTGACCTATGTTAGAAACATACCACAACTATTGATAATATGCAACAAGTAGTGAAAGTAGCATTAAAAAATAAAAATTAACTTAAGAAAGCATTTCAATTATACCAACTCCTCTTTACTGCAGGATATTCAAGGTGAGTTCGGCTTGGCAACTCTTTTGACTCCTTTGACCCTCTTCATTGCAAAATCGTTCGGGTCAGGCCACTAGGCAAATAGTGCAAGCTCCTCATCGTTCGGGTACAGCCAAGTAGAGTGAAAAGAGTTAACTCCACAAGCACTACCTTGGGCGTGTTTGGGTTGACGCTCGGCAAAGCGAGCAGAGCTATTACGGAGTAACGTGACGTCACAGGGAGTACACCGTGTCAAGCCAAATAAACTTGTGCAAAAATTCTGGAGTTAGTTTAAAGTTGAGTTTCGATGAAAATTGGCTTGATTGAGTTAGTTCTGGGTTGGGCGATCAGCTGATTATTGTTTATTTTTCTTAGAATATATTTTTTGGAGTCCGAACCCGCTTTCCGCATTTGCACCAGAGTTTTCTCGTTTGTTTTGCATTTTAGTCGATAATTTTCAAACAGCCCCATTTTCTTTTGTATTCTGCAAAAAATATCGTGCTACATAAACAATAAAACGGACCTAAACACTCTGAGGCTGCCAAGTTCCCTTGGAAAAATATGTTCAATAATACCGGTGATGAGGACTATCGAGAAAATTTGATTGAAAGTAAACAATCATGCAGAATTTACTAGCTATTTGATTGTTAACATTTAAACAAAATAGATAAAACTATCCACCTAACAAGTAATATGTTAAAATTCAGGATTGTTTATTTATCATGGAAAACAGGTTAGGTTATACAGACAGATTAAACTGCGCATGCACGCTCCATCTGCCCACCCCAAAAACTCGGAGTTTATCGAGCTCGCTCTGAGTGCTCAAAATATGTCAAACCAAACACAATCAAGCGTCGTCGGAGCTTCAAAAATAACGGAAAAGAGACAAAAGTCCATGCTCTGAGTGCACCGAGCGTGAACCCAAACGCGCTCCTTGAGAGATGAAGTTCGAGGAGCGGGCATGCGCACTTCCTATATTTCCAGAAGGCGTTAAAATTTAAATTTTTAATAATCCACTATGCTAACGATCCCACCCTGAAGAATTCAAAGATATTTTTTTCTTAGGGCTTGGTCGCCTCCTGGGGCTTCTGGTGGAAAAAATGGCATCGCTCCCCCAAATTATCCGCAAAAATACATGTTCGGTTTGTGACTCGGTTTGTGATGGGGATAAGCGCCCGCGGCATTCGCGAGCTGCGGCTCGCCTTGCTTCTTATGCGTTCGACTAAACCATTTTACTATTCATCACGTGACTATGAAACAGCTCTTTATCTGTTCCAACTCCGTTTTACCAAGCCGAACTCACCTCGAATAGCCAATGAGCCAATGAGCGAAAATTCAGCTAACTAAAATTCATAAAAAATGACTCACGTACAACTATGGGATAAGAAAGACTAGTGGCCGTTTCCACCAACCATTTTAGTGGAGCCTTAACGATAAGTATTCCTTAAAATGACAGTCTTCCATCGAGAAATGTCTTTGAGGAATACTTATCGTTAGGGCTCCCCCAAATTAGTTGGTGGAAACGGCCAAGATCACCTAATGTCCCTCAAAAGTGAGAAGGACTTGACGACTCTATGGACTTATCTGAAATTATTCGCAATTGGGCTAAGTTAAAAAAAAAAAAATACGTATGGACATGGTAGAAAAATAAGTTAGGTCGTAGAGCTTCAATCTGAATGAAATTTGTTACTACGTTTACATATTCAAGTATAACATTCCTACGAATCTAATTTTTTTTTTAAATCGATACCGGAAAACTTTTTTTTGTGGTTTTTTAAAGTCAGTTGGCTTATTACGACGTAACGGCCCCCCCCATTACCAAAGCCTTCGGAACGCCCCTGCCTCCAAGCAAACAGAGAATCATATTAATTACGAAACATTTGGCCAAGAGTGATTTTTATAGTACATAAAAGCCGTGTGGTTTATGGCATAGACTTTCTAATTACCTCTCTACACGTAGATTTGCTTTTCATACTGTTGGTAAATTTGCCTTTCAAACATTATCCATTCTAATTATCGTTTTTAGCTTGCAAAAGTTTCAATTAAATGGTGATTTTTTTTTCCGTTTTAAATATTTATCTTGTCAAGTTTAGTACCATTTTTCTTTTTTTTTTCTAAATTATTATAACACTTGTTCAAATAACACTGGACACGACGATAAATTAAGGTCAAATCAAAATGCTCTGTTAATAGAAACAATCCGGTCGAGGACTGCGACGGACGGCACGTGACGTCAGTCGCAGTACTCGATGTTCGATATTTTGGCGAACATCGAGTATGGCCATGGGCCCTGGCCGGACTCTTCTATCTAGGGTGGATTCTCGCATGTATGTACGAATATATTTTAATAAAAAACGTAGATAATTAACACAAGAAAAAAAAAACGAAGCAAAACGCACCTTAATACCCCATGGCATAACAAGAAAAACGAGAACAAAACTAAAAAAAGGGTGTGTACAAGAAGGACAAAAAACTATTTGGGCAACAGCCCGGAGATTCTAAAATCACGATACGACTCGATAACGAGACGATTTTTCCGACGATTCTAGATAGGAATCTCATTGGAATCATTCTTCGGAAAAAAGATGGAGGATTGGATTCGTATCGGACGTTCATAATCGGGGCTCCCAGAAACTATTTTGACAGAGAACTAAAAGTTAACTTGAATTACTATGAAATTCCCACTGGTCAACGAAAATGTAAACGGAACACGAAAAAGGTTGTGACCTGACGTGAGATGGCGCGAATCTTATTCGTCTTGTTAATAGATGGCGGTATTAGTTGTGTTCCTTTGTTTTGACATAAGACATGACATCACGAAAATAAAAATGACGACAAACCGGTCGAGAGGGAGACGTCAGACACACCAATCCAATACAATCGGAAACAAAAAAAGCGTCAAGTCAAGTTGGGAAATCATCCCCAAACACAACTTTTGTGCAGGATACCTATCTCAAATATTTAATATTTGAAGTGAATGTGATAGTTATTAGGGGCTTTAGTTAAGTTTTACCAATTTCAACTCGGCAGCCCTCTAAACCTCAACATGTTGGCCCTAATGAACAGAATATTGGACTGGTTCAGGAGCCTCTTTTGGAAAGAAGAAATGGAATTGACTCTGGTTGGTCTTCAATATTCAGGAAAGACAACCTTTGTTAATGTTATTGCTGTAAGTTTTATCCTATATATTTGTTATTTTATAATAAAATTAATAATTCAACTGTTGTCATAGGGTATTTAATGTCCTTATCTTAATGAAGTTTTCCATTCTGTAGTGAATAAAGCACCAAAAAATGCTGATAACTGTGTGTTCTTTCGCCAACATCAATATTGTATATTTCCAGATAGGACGAGTACATTATTAAATATAAACAAATACATTCACTTTTTAAAAAGCAAATGCAGTTTATTCGACAAGTCTTGAAGATTTACTTGATTTGAAACTTCGAGATTTAATTTTTCACTTGAATTCACTGCTCGGGCTTTTGATTTCAGATGGACAATTGATTCAAAATTTGTCACACAAGTACCTTATCACAAACTAGTCCAGAGTCCAGATGATCTTGATTGGTTGGAATCGTTCAAGAATATTATTTTTGTTTTGATTGACTTTTGTCACTGAAAATTGCATATCTATCAACTTAGCGAGACAACTTCGAAAAATCGATTTTCCATTATGCCAAGAATTTGCCGCTTTTTTGCCGCTAATTAAATGTGGAATTAAAAAATTTGCTCTCTTTTGGTTTTTTCTTAATTACGTGTTTTGCTAACTTGACGTCAAGATAGCGAGACAACATCACTAAATATGTCAGCACTAAAAAACTAGGTACGTGAAAATTTGCCGTTTTTTTGCCGCTAATTAGTTGTGAAAATCAAAAATTTGCTGGTTTTTTTTTTCATAAAAAATAAAGTTTGAAAAAAAAAATCATTTGTTTCGCTAACTTGACGTCAAGTTAGCGAGACATTATCACTAAAAATGTCGGTAGTGAAAAATTGAATGAATGGAAATTTGCCGTTTTTTTGCCGCTAATTAGTTGTGAAAACCAAAAATTTGTCGCTTCTTTTTCCTACAAAAAATCAAGTTTGAAAAAAAAATCATGTGTTTCGCTAACTTGACGTTAAGTTAGTGAGACAATATCACTAAAAATGTCGGTAGTGATGAGTTGAGTGAATGGAAATGTGCCGCTAATTAGATGTGAAAACTAAAAATTTGCCGCTACCTTTCTTTTCATAAGAAAATCGTGTTCGAAAATAAAATAGTGTTTTGCTAATTTAACGTAAAGTTAGCGAGATCACTAAAAATGTTGGTAGTGATAAATTGAGTGAGTGGAAATTTGCCGCTAATTAGCTCTTTTTCTACAAGAAAATATCGCGTTTGAAAAAAATATCATGTATTTCGCTAACTTGACATCAAGTTAGCAAAACAGTATCAATAAAAATATCGGTAGAAAATTTCATTCATCTGTAAAAATTGGTATTCGAACCATAAACTGGGCTCTGTGTCATTTGCGCGACAGTCGTTTGCGCGAGGGAGAAAAGCGCGATACTAAAAGCGCGAGGGACAAAAGCGCGACGGAACAAAAGCGCGACGGAACAAAAACGCGACTGGAATAAAGCACGATTGGACAACAACGCGAGGTATCTAACTATCTACGAGGACTGTAAGCAAAAGAAGGACACATCAAATTGTATCAATAGTAATCAGAAAAATGCAGCCCTACTCAAACTAACCCATACTAACCCGTTCGCCTAGTGCGATCTAGTCTTCGTTAAATAGAATTTTATTTGAAAAACAAGGCGCGGTCAAGGGACCCTACGCTATAAATAAATTGACTGTTTTTTTGGATAAAATGCTAACTTACGAGTACTAGATCGCAGTGATCGCACTAGGCGGACGGGTTATTTTGGGTTAGTTTGAGCAAGTCTGCATTTGCTTTATTATTATTGGTTCAAATTGATGTCGCAATACAGACTTACTCAAACTAACCCAAAATAACCCGTCCACCTAGTACGATCTAATCCTCGTAAGCATTTTATTTAAAAAAACAAAGTTAATTCACTGATTGCTCAAGGTCTCTTGAGAGCGCAGTGCTTTCTAAATAAAATGCTAACTCACGAGGACGAGATTGCCCTAGACGGACGGGTTAGTTTGAGTAAGTGTACATAATTTTGATTAATATTGGAACAATTTGATGTTTCCCTCTTTTGCTTAGAGGTCGTCGTTGTAAATGTCGCTCTTTTAATTTGTCACTGTTCTAAATCTCGTTCTTTACATATGTCGCTCTTTTGATATGTTGCTGTTTTTTTTTAGATGTCGCTATTTTGAATATCGCTGTTCCAAATGTCGCTATTTTGATATATCGCTTTAACAATATGTTGCCTTTTTGATGTTACTATTTTAAATATCGTTCTTTTGGACCGGAGCCACCGAAAATATCTTGTATTTTGGAAAACGATCTTCAGTTCTCGTAGTAAGGCACTTCGCGTTCTTGGCCAATTGCGCTTTATCCAGTTCCGTTTTTGTTCTGTCGCGCTTCTGTCCCCTCGCGCTTTGTCGCTCGCGCTTTTGCTTCTAGCGCTTTTATCCAGTCGCGTTTTTGCGCAGTCGTGCGCTTTTGTCCCTCGCGCTTTTGTTCCTCGCGCTTCTATCCAGTCGCGTTTTTGTCCATCGCGCATTTGTCCTGTCGCGTTTTTGTTCCGTCGTGATTTTGTCCCTCACGCTTTTTGTATGCAAGTATTGCAAATGACACAGATCCCATGCATAAACTGGCATTTTTTAATTGTTGATTTCAACCAATCAGATTACGATTACGTGATAATTTGTACTAGTGCAGGATTATCGGATTGGATAATAGGGAACAATCATATTTTTCAAAGTATTTTTTTTCTTATTGCTTATGTTTTCAAATATAAAATGTATATGTTTTTTTTTGTTTTATGTCCTCATTGAAATAAAAAAATTATTTTGAATTTCAAATTATTTTCGTTGGCGCGAAAACGATTACCTTCAAGATGGTGGCATTTGTGACGTCAACTGTCTGTAAACACAACGTTAAGGTCTGTTCTCACAAGAGCCTTTGACACTTTGCAAACTGTCGGAAAGAATCGCTCAGCTTGAACCTGCGACTGCATTGAAACTTGAAAGCGGTTATTTATGAGGTATTTCCGTATTTAGTGCCATATTGTGACATCTTGTAATTCAAATAGTTCATCATGGTTGATACAGGATTACAAAAGCGCAGTCTGACAATCTTCCCTCAATATACCCGTTTATGGTGGTTCAATATAAGTCGTGGCGTGACATGAGCTGATCGTGGACCAATCGTTCCACGATTCAAGAGTGAACCACGAAAGTGTGGACCGTGGATTTACGATCAGTGTAAACTACCCTTAACCTCAAATTACGAACAGTTGACGTCACTGGAAGCGGCCATGTTAAACGTAACTTTTCCGCGCGAAACTTTTCAATTTAAAACTAATAATTGCCATATGACTATAATATCCATAAATTTAATACAAAACTGCTCATATTCAATATTTTACACAAAAATGTGCACCATAAAAACAAAATAAGCCATATTTATTTCTTATGAAAATTCCCTATTGCTTACTAACGGGTGGCATTTAACATTTTTTCTGATTGGTGACATTTTATACTTACGAGGATGTACTAAAAATTTAAATTTTTGATTCATGAAATTCTCTCATAAAATACAACTCCAGCAATGGAAATATATCTATAATTTTTGAGAAATTTGCTCTCATGCATTTTTAACTGGAAAAGGCACTCGTCCCTCGTGCTTTTTTTCAACTAAAAATGCATTCGGGAAAATTTGCCAAAAATTATCGATAATTTCCATTTTATCCCAATTTAATTTTATTTCTACTTTTATTTTATTTTCTGTATAAATGAGCACACGATATTTCGCTTTCTGATTTTTGAAATCTATAAGGCCTCCAATAGAGTTTTCCTAAGCTAAAGAAAAAAAAAAACTGAAAAACTATTTTCAAAAAATTTAGAAATAAATATTTGTTCCAACAAATGTTGAGTTTCACTAATTAAAATATACTTACAGGGTGCATAAAAATCAAGGGTGGGAGATCATTTATAACAGAACACCCTTTTACTCACCTAATTTTATACTGCCCTTCGTCTTTTGTGATGAGTCGGTCTAACTTAACGGCAAGCTTGCGAAACACAAGTTTTTTTCAAACACGATTTTTTCATGGAGAAAAAGAGCGGCAAATTTTTGGGTTTTCATATTTAATTAGCGGCAAAAAGCGTCAAATTTCCACAGCTTTTCTCTATCACTCAATTTTTCTCTACCGACATTTTTAATGATACTGTTTTACTCACTTGATGTCAACTTAGCGAAACACATCATATTTTTTTTCAAACGCGATATTTTCCACTCACTCAATTTATCACTACCGACATTTTTAGTGATCTCGCTAACTTTACGTTAAATTAGCAAAATATTATTTTATTTTCGAACACGATTTTCTTATGAAAAGAAAGGTAGCGGCAAATTTTTAGTTTTCACATCTAATTAGCGGCAAATTTCCATTCACTCAACTCATCACTACCGACATTTTTAGTGATATTTTCTCGCTAACTTAACGTCAAGTTAGCGAAACACATGATTTTTTTTCAAACTTGATTTTTTGTAAAAAAAAGCGGCAAATTTTTGGTTTTCACAACTAATTAGCGGCAAAAAACGGCAAATTTCCATTCACTCAATTTTTCACTACCGACATTTTTGATGATAATGTCTCGCTAACTTGACGTCAAGTTAGCGAAACAAATGATTTTTTTTTTTCAAACTTTATTTTTTATGAAAAAAAAAAAACCGGCAAATTTTTGATTTTCACAACTAATTAGCGGCAAAAAAACGGCAAATTTTCACGTACCTAGTTTTTTAGTGCTGACATATTTAGTGATATTGTCTCGCTATCTTGACGTCAAGTTAGCAAAACACGTAATTAAGTAAAAACCAAAAGAGTGGCAAATTTTTTAATTCTACATTTAATTAGCGGCAAAAAAAGCGGCAAATTCTTTGCATAGTGGAAAATCGATTTTTCGAAGTTGTCTCGCTAAGTTGATATACCTACTTCTCAATTTAAACCCGAATATTTAAGTTGTCTCCCAAAATTCGAGGGAAACCCTTGCGAGCTAAACAGATATTTAGCTACTTGCAAATCTCTCATAGATAATTTTTATGATACTGTTAAATGTAAATTGTTCCCAAAATATATTTTTAATAAACTCTCTTATAGGTAAACTTTCTGGCAATGCTAGATTAGTGTTTAATGTTCAGAATGTCTCCACCTGAGACGGTCTAAAACACACATTGACTAGACATTTCGCGGACAGACGCGACGAGTCTTGTTTGAATAGAGATCTTGTTTTAACCAAACAAAATGCTAATGAGACCCCTCAATCTTACTATGATAGAATTCTCGAATTACTTAATTTACTCTGCAGTTACGTAGATGCTCACGACGATGTGGCTACTGCCCAAATAAAACGAAATTTGTATACAGAACTTGCTTTAAAAACATTCTTGGCCAGTTTAAGAGAACCTTTAGGCAACACAATTCGTTGTATGTCACCAAAAGATTTAGCTGATGCCATACAACTTGTTATTCGAGAGAGTAAGAACCCATGATTTTTTTTTTAAACTTGATTATTTATGGAAAAAAAAGAACTGGCAAATTTTTGGTTTACACAACTAATTAGCGGCAAAAAACGGCAAATTTTCATCTACCTAATTTTTTACTGCTGACATATTTAGTGATGTTGTCTCGCTATCTTGACGTCAAGTTAGCATAACACAAGTTGTTTCGTTTCGCTAAGTTGATAGACATGAAAATTGCTCTGGCCTAATCACTTTTAATCTTGCTTGTAATGTCTCTAGAACAGGCCCTTAGTTGACCTGAAGTCACTGAATTTAGTTGATGTTAATGAAAACAAACTGGCAATTTTTAATTTCAAATTGTCAGGTCGGAGAACATGGCTATACTGTCCCCAACATTTTTTGAAGCTTTATTGTAAATATAGTACCTACCTAGATATGATTATTTAGTAATGGCAAGGCAGAATATTACCGGGAGAAGTTTTGGTACAATGGTCTCTTGGTTTTAGTCTACAAAGATACCTTAGAGCCCGCTTCTGAAGGACAAAAACAGATTGCAGTAGTTGTCCGCTACAAAAACCCCAAAACGCTATTCCGTATCTTGGGTTTGATTCCACCAAAGAGAAATACACCGATCTTGCCAAAGAATGACCCAAGTCCATACTGACCAACCTAACAGCATAGCAAGCTGAGGCCAATTTTTTATTAAGAGCTTTGACATGTACTGAAAATTTTAATTGCTTGTCAATTTGTAAACCCAGAAATTTTACATCACTTCTATTTTCCAGAATGCTGTTTTCCAATGGAATATTTTTCAAATCACATTTGAAAGACAAAATATTAGTTTTACTAATGTTCAAAGATAGACAATTTGCATCACAGCACTGCTTAATTTTTGTTATGTCTCTCAACATTAGATTGTTGAGCCAATCTGGGCACTGATCCAGCCATAAAATCGTGGCATCATCCGCAAACAAAGTAAGGCGACCAGCAATATCGAGATTTGCCAAATTATTGATATACAAAAGGAATAGAAGCGGTCCCAAAACTGAACCCTGGGGCACAATAAAGCATTAAACCTAAATAAACTGAATCCGATTAATTAATTCTAATTTTTTGATTAAGGGAAAAATGTAAAGTATGTATTTTTTTGTCTCGAAAAAATTAAATTGTTAATTTTGCTTTAACAAGTATTCAAGAATAATATCAGTAATTTATTAATTATTATAAATTCTCGAAAATTAAATCTCTATATTATACATAAGTCACTTTGCTTTGCTGTATTTTGAAAATTACCGCAAATTACCATAATTTACCTAATTGTCTTACCAAATTATAAATTACTGGTAATTTGCGATCACCATGATTATTATTAAATGAAAATTCTGCATTGAAAAGGACATCAGGATCCTTTTTGACTTGAAGATTCTCTAAATCCCAGTAGGTAATTAATTCTTGACTTAATTTAATTCTGTATTGAAAACCAATGACATTCCAAATACAATAGAAATGCATAACTTAACATTTACTTACTGGCACTTAATTTCATTCTATTCAATGGGCTTCACTTATCCAAACTGTTTAGGTCTTCTTGTATTTTTACACAATCTTTTATAGACTAAATTGCCTTCATGGAAAGGCTAGTTGTATGAGATGAGATCAATATTCGATCCCTAACTAAACTAAATTTCAATGGTGATAGATATGCTCCTAGGAACCCCAGATTTCATTAATTTATTCATTCATTTATTCACTACAATATACTATTCTAAAGGTACGATAATATAGCTTGAAAAACAGAATAACTTGTTTTTTTCTCTAAATATTGCATCTAGACTACACCCGTATGTATGTACAACAATCCAAGGTAGAATCTAAGACTAAAACTAATAGCGTATTTCCGAGCGTATTTCATTGGTAGAGCAAGTACAACACTGCTGCAATATTCGTGATCCATTGGCAGAGTCGAGGGAAGAGTCCGCGCTGCACTTTTGTATTTCATCGGGAAAGCAATGCACTGAGTGCTGTTGGTGCGCCACAGGCTAAAAAGCTCGTGTCGCAGTTGTTTATTGTTATTTTTGAAATTGAGGTTATTGGTGGTTGATGGTTTTTCGTAAAAAAAAACAGTCCCAAATTTTAGTTTTTTAATGTTTTTCATATTTGTCTGCGAATATACTACCAAAAATGTCAAAAATGGCTTGTTGATGGCAATTGCCTTGATGGAAAGTAGTAGCAGCGGTGAAACCAGTGAATATGAAGAATATTTAGGGCTTCTAGCAGAGGGAAGAAGGTGCAGTACGATGATGTTTCATTGGGACTGCACACGTGTTAATGCAAAACGAGTGTTGCACTTGCTCTACCAATGAAATACGCAGTGGCGTAGCCAGGATTTTGTCTTGGGGGGGGCAAATTTGCAGGAAGCGTCTTTTGCGGCCCTACCGCGACCGCTGCCGGAGGCAAAGCGCCGCAGGCGCGAAATTTTTGGGTGCCACGCCCCTTTTTCAGGTTTCTTTACGCTATTTTTGGGACTGTTTATCTTAATTTTGAAGAAATATTCATAAAATTTAAGGGTCTTGGGGGGGGGCAAATGCCCCCTTGCCCCCCCCCTGGCTACGCCAGTGGAAATACGCTATAAATAACCAAACGAAAGTGAGAATTATTTGGTGTTTTTAATATTACATATCTCTACATTATTTGACAAAAAAATAAATACTTACCTATTATGGTGCTTAATCTACTTTTAAAAAATCTTTGGTTTCTATCACTACCAAGACAACTGTTGCAAGTCTACAACATTTTTCAACCTGTTGGTATTTCATTGTCAATTTCATTTGATAAAACATTATTCTAGTTAAGGTTTTTTGGTACACAAAAAATATAAAATAACTAGATACCACATCAGGTAATTATTTCAGTAATTTTATTTATAATAATAACAAACATGTAGATTAGCTAAAGCTGTTTATACCTATTTATTTCCGAGTTTATTTCCAAGTGAAAAATTCTCTTTTTAATTGCAAAAAGGAAATTCAATTTTTTTCCAATGTAATAATGGATTTTTTTTTTCATATTTTCAATCTTAGTTATTTCACGAGTTATGTTTGAGATCTTTATAGGCCTCATGAAATACTTTTATACAGAAAAATGCTCGGAAAAAGATTCTATTTTTTAATTTTGGTATTTTATGACACAATTAAAACTAAGCCCTGTCCTGAATTGTGATCAAGTCCTGTAATAAAAGAAAAACATATTTTTACTTCGAACTGTCAGTTTTTTTTTATGGTGCCGCTAAGAATTTTACATTTTCCACTTTATTTCCATAAAAAACAATTTCAGATATTAAAATAAAAATACCTACACTTTCTAGCAAATAAAACATCAAAAAAATATGTTTAAATTTCTCTACTTTCAGTCTGGACAATTTAGTGAAGATATGATTCCAACAGTAGGCTTCAATATGAGAAAAATCACAAAAGGCAATGTGACGATTAAGGTATGGGATATTGGTGGTCAGCCCAGATTTAGATCAATGTGGGAGAGGTACTGTAGGGGTGTTAATGCAATTGTGTAAGTAATACAAAAATAAATCATTTTAATAGTATCATGACGTGTCTAGTACTGAAAAGGGGCAATTTACTGACGCTGCAGTTTGGTAAATCCTCGGGTAAATCTGGTCAGCTCTAATTTTAAACACAAAAGTTGTAAATATCTGAAAAACACTAGTGGAAACATTTCTTGTTTATTATCAAACCTAAATCAATCAAAAATTGGCATTTTGCACTTGACATAGTTGTCCTTAATTCAAAAATTGCAATAAAATAGAGAATGCTCCATTTAAAAAATCATCGTAACTATGTAAAAATGTGACACCCCGGTGACACCTATGTGGCACAAATATTTTTTCGGAAATGTTGAAAAGTTATTTTTTTTTGAAAAATTAATATCGTTTACGTACTTGAGCTCTTGTGAGTTGAGCCTCCAAATACAAATTGATAAATATATTTTTTTTTTCTCAAGCTACATGGTTGATGCGGCTGATAATGACAAAATAGAAGCGTCAAGAAATGAACTTCACAATCTGCTAGACAAACCACAGCTTGCTGGGATTCCAGTATTAGTCCTTGGAAATAAAAGAGACAAACCTCAAGCATTAGATGAAAATGGTCTTATTGAAAGGATGTAAGTTTTTAATAGAAACATTTGATTATCTAAACTTATAAAAAAAAAACAGGTGCGTTTATAATGTCAAATCGTTCACTATAATTTAAATTATGTTTTTATTCCAAAAGATTAGCAAGTGAAGTGGGTAAAGTTTAAAAAAATATTGAGTATTTTTTTTGAAACTTTTTTGAAACAATAAATTAATATTGAAGATATTTCTTTCAATTCGAGTGAAAGCAATGATAAATGCATCCACATTAATTCAGCAAAATGAATTAATGTCGATATTTTCAGAGTTATCAGAGTCTTCATTCTTGATTTCAGAATTTCAGTAAAATTCAAAATATTCCGATGATGGACTCTTTATAGGTATACTTGAAGAAATCTTTAAATTTTAAAGATAGCATGCAAAACTGATATCTAAAAGTTTAGGATAACAGGATAAAAAAAAACATACTGGCGGCTAATTTTATGAAAAATTTACCCTTTGAATTTTGAAACTGTTAAAGGTAGAATCCAACATTTTCACATAAAATTGAAATCTAAAAATTGGGGTTCAGTTCAAATAGTGAAGGTTTAGATAAGACTATAGACTGAAGCTCGCAACTACACCCTTGAATATGTAGAAAAAAAAAATGGCGGCTAGTAGTTAGTACTGGAGCACGTCCTTCCATTAAAGACTTTCGTTAAAAAATGAAAGTTAAGTCAGTGTGTGTCCAAGAATGTAGTTGAAAACTTGAGTCCAGCCTTTGTAAAGCTAAAAACTGTGCACCTAATCACCCAACTCATCCATTGTATAAATCTTATTAAAAATCTAAAATAGGTTTTTACATGCCGAAATGAGACTCAACAACGTTTCCAATACCTACCTATCTTCTCAATAAAATTATTCCTGTCACATGTATACTTTGGTCAAATCACTTCCCAACAATAAAATAAGGAATGCAGACTGTATTGACCTCTTATTTCGATCGCCAATCGCGCAAAACCCCGTGAAAAAAATAGAATCGGCAAATGATTGTTTTGGTAAAAAAATTATAGCCACTATTGGTGCTTACCTTAATTGCTATAGAGTATGGAATTTTCTGTGCGACCAATGGTTTCAATGAAAAATTCCAAAAACCACTTCATTGCGTGTGCGGGGTGGTTTTTGGGAATAAACTTGCAAAATATTTTGAGGTTTTTATAACTTTTCCCCCAGTGTCCAAGTGACATTCAACCATTTTTATTCTAATAACTATAAGAAATTCAATTCAGTTCTTAAATATAGTGAATCTTATTATTTTGTTTTGCAATTGATAAAGTTAGAAGTTGCTGATTTTTGTTAATAATTTTATTATTGTTTTCAACACAAAATTATCTTTTTCCAGGAATTTATCAGCAATTCAAGACCGTGAAATCTGTTGTTACTCAATTTCCTGTAAAGAAAAAGACAACATTGATATCACATTACAGTGGCTGATAGCACATTCCAAATCAGGTATGCGTTAAGGAACTGACAAGACAAGGTTTATTTGAAGTGTTTTATGGAAGTGTATATTTCAATTCATCAATTACAAAGTTGAGATTTGTTAGAGTAGCCATATAAAATTAGTCTAACATAAAGATAATAATGACTACGTTCACCAGAACCAAAACGGATTGTAAACAGTTTACAATTACCAACAGAATATGTTGGGTAAACTCTTGGTTCTGCTGAACGATTCAACTTTTCAATGATAAAACGTCACGTTCTGAATGACAGGTTACCACACAAAACACAGTGTTGAAAATTATAAACACTCTGAAATTATGCTTGCAAAAATGGCGACCTTTTGCAAAACATGTTTGGTTTTAACCCAAATTCAACGTAGCGTTCAGCAGAACAATCGCAAACCGTTTACCAACATTTGTATCTGGTGAACCCGGCCAATAATAGAATAATAATGCTATCTTTGTTGTAAATAATCCGGAATTGTAGGTTAATGCTTTATATGTAAGTGCAATTATTGTTTTTTATACTTTTTAAAATTACATTGTATACAGTGTCCCCCATAATGTTCGCTACATATGGAAACATTTTTTATTTGTAGGATATGGAATTTTTTCTTATCTGCAATAGATCCTGCGTGTCCAATAACATGAAAGTATATTTTGACATCGGTCACGTGATCTCTGTTGTGGCGGCAAATTCGAAAATCTAGATATGGAAACGCGAAAGTAGGGTTAGATGGCAAAATATTGGGAAAAGGTATTTGAGTCTGCAAAATTTGGAGCAAAAACAAAAAATAGGAAATTACTTGTTCTTCACCATGGATCTCTTATCAAATATTATTAGACAGTTGTTATTATTGAAATAGTCCAAGTACCTCAATATTTAATATGTATTGGTAAAACAAACTTAAATTCTTCATTCGAATCATTTCTAGAGAATAAAATAAAAATATTCGATTAGCACATGAAACTTTTCTGTAGCAATACCCTGTATCTCGACATTTTCTGAGATTTCCAATAATTTACTGTTGATACAACAACTGAAAAGAACCGTTATTGAGGTTTTTTAATAAATATTTCAAAAGTTCTAAATACGTTACTTAACTGTCAAGATACGGGTATTGCTACAGAAAAGTTTCATGTGCTAATCCAATATTTTCATTTAGTTCTCTAGGAATGATTCCAATAAAGAATTATTTAAGTTTGTTTTGCCAATACACATTAAATATTGAGGTACTTGGTACTTTGGTACTTTATCTATAGATTTTCAATAATAAAAACTGTATAATGTTACTTGATAAGAGATCCATGGCGAAAACAAGTAACTTCCTATTTTTTGTTGCTTTTGCTCCAAATTTCTTAGAGAGCCCTAAAACATCTAATCACTTTTTAACTTTTTCCGATATTTTGCCATCTAAACCCACTTTTCGCGTTTCCAAATCTAAATTTTCGAATTTGCCGCTACAACAGTGATTACATGACTGATGTCAAAATCTACTTTTAGGTTATTGGACATGCAGGATCGATCGCACATAAGAAAAAAATCCATATGTAGGGAACATTACGGGGGACACTGTACATACATATTATTATATAGTTATCCAAGAAATTACCAATTTTTTGGATCACTTCATTTCTTTCTTCTCTACTTGTAGATATGGCGACTTTAACACCAAAAAGAGTTTTGGATAGATCCAAAGATCTTTATGATTTTTTTAGAGCGAAGTTAAACTTATAATAATTATTATCGCAGTGCTGCAAAAAATATTATTTCCACATTGTGTATTGGTAAACAATGTTTTTGTCTGCATTGCTATGTACGCTGGGTGTTAGATTGTTTACCTATGAAACTAAGAATCACCGGACTACCAAGATTTTCCCGAGGGAACTTGCCTTAAAATTATTATTGAAGTCAAATATCAGAGCTTATTATTTCAACTGTGATTTGAAATATATTTTGCAATTCATAAGGTGTATGTATCTTCTTGACAGTAAGAAGAATTTAATCGGAATATATTCTATATGGAAAGTTCACCAGAGAAGTAAGCTGTCATATTCAATATCGAGCGTCATAACGGACAATTCGATTCGACTCGTAAAATAGAATCCAGCAGCTGCCTTTCTGAAGGATTAATATATTATTTTTCTGATCATAAAAATTATCCTTATTCCGTGTTGGATAGTCATGAATTGTTTGTTAGTGGCCAGTCTATCAGACAAATAGTTCGGCGCTACCCCATTTTTTATTTTGTAAATAAACTGTAGGTGATTCACCTCAGTTAGGTACCCCAGTTTAGTCTGTCAAACAGGTACCAATCAATTTCGTATGGGAAAATAATGCCGTCACGGCAACTTTGGTAGGCGATTTGGTCTGTCAAATTCTATACTTTTTTGTAACTCGGTAGTGGAGGTCTGGTAGCTTTCTGTCTCACTTTGAAGCACAATAATTCAATTTTAAATAAACATGGCAAAGCCGAAATGTACCAAACGCCCTACCCACTGAATTCGGATGAGATTGTAGAGCTACATCAGTCATAAGTACCAACTGGTTACCAATTCGCTTACCAAACAGCAGATGAAATCGCCCTATGATGGCATTGTGGTTGTTATATCAATATTGTTTTCTGGTTTGGTATAATACTTGTATTGCACTAGCGAGATGCCCAGTGTCCCAAATGAATCAAATTTTCTCTTTATTGTCTAACAAAGCACAACCACTCGTATTGCATGTTGTAGCTGTGTCTAGAAGCCATACAACCTCATAGTATGAGGAAAATGCATTGGATTATATACTTAACGTCTGTAAAATGACCTTTCCAGATTGAAAATATTATACGATATACGATACATTTTAGCATTGTACTGGCAGTTTGGACAGTTACTGCTGATGGAATTCAACAAATTCCATTTGACTGTGAAATATATTGCCCCAGGATCAAATAACTACACCAGGGCACAGACACGAAGTAAATAAAATGAGAACCAATTTTAGTACTTTCAAATGCTCCCCTGTTCTATTTCGTAGTTGGTTATTGCATTTACTGTTTCACTTATACATTTGTAATAAAGACAGTTTCCTAGCAATAAGGGCCAGTTTCTCGTTTCAAAGTTATTCTCTTGGGTTTGAATTTCTTGGTTAAACAGACATTTATTTTTTGCATTGATTCAATATCCCGATTGAAAAATGGCAAGCCTACAAGGCAAATAAGGAAACTGTGTTGACCCGAGTTTGATGAACTCACTTTGTGAAATGATTTTCTTGTTAATATTGTCTCCACTTCTCCACATCGACCTTAAGCATTAGACATCTGCTCTAACTGTGGGACGATTATGAGGAGTTTTCTGCTTATAGGCTAGTAAAATAACTTATTGTTTGTAGTTCTGAGTTCTGTGAGATAAACTACCTCATATTTAATATCTGTGGAACCATGAATACTTACAAATGTGAAATCGATATTTTGTTACAGTGGCTCTTATATCGGGTGTCAATGAGATCACTTTCGCTCTGGCATTTTTTTATTTCTTTCCTGATCGAAATTAATTTCGGTGTAGAGTTTAGATTTGACAAATGTCATCTTTTGACGTATGTGTAAAAGTCTAGCAACTTCCGGTTTTACCGGAAGTGACCATAGCTTCATAAATCTAAATGGCAACCTAGTACTTTTTAGTTGTTTTGAAATCTTGGGATCATTCTGTATATATGGAAATATCAAATTTGAAGCTGTTTTACGAAGTTTGAAAATTTTAAAACAAAATTTTTTTTTGAGTTGAGACTACCAGGACCAGGATTTTCCTGAAACTGTTTATTTTGGTACACATAACTGTAGAAAAATATAAATACGTTGTTTTCACTTATCATTTGTCTACCAAATGTTTCCAAAGTTGGCAAAATTGTATTTTATGTGATAACATAATAAAATTAAATGAAACCACCCAACTTTCACATGTCAAATTGATAATATGCTCCAAAATAAAGCTAACGATGTATTGAAGCTTTCTAAAAAGACCCATTTTTAATAAACTTTCTTTCACTCTCAATTTGTTCAAAAGTTACAAAAAAAAATATTGACAAGCCCTGGTATTGGGAATGGCAAGAAGCTGGTGGCCAAAGTTGTCATGTAAGCCCATTGACAGGCAATATTTTTTTGTCATTTTGAGGTGCATTCGGTATTTACGTCGGATCTATCTTTTTTCTCTTGCATCTGATGCGTTTTACAATATTGTTAATAGATAATTAAAATATCCACTTGCTCGTTCTTCGTAAACATTATTTAATTTGCTTCATTTACATGGTGCAAGTAGCTTGAGCAAGTACTAACGCCAGTAGCTAAATTATCTTTGTTTTCGTGCAAGTGAGTGTCTACATGCATTTTACTGATTTTAAGTCGAATTTAGTGATTAGTGCAAATTGAGGTGAAACGGCAGCAAGTAAAGTTGTTCGAAAAGAAATTCAAAAATGCATTTTTAGTGTTTGTGGAGAATTATCAGAAATTTTATTGAAAAAAATTGAAAAAGAAAAACGTTGTTGGGTTCGACCATCGATATCTCCTGTCTACACGCGTCCAGTCCGCTAAAGTCAGTAAAATAAACGAGAGTGGGGGAAGCCACCTGCTCAAGTAAATAGAACCTGCTTCTATTCACTTGACTAAAGAGTTCACTTGCTCAAGTACTAAATTAAGGTGTTTACACGATTCAAGTTACTAAATTTTAGTTACTGGCGTTAGTACTTGCTCAAGCTACTTGCACCGTGTAAATGAGGCTTTAATTACGTACCTACGTAAAAAATATATTTGACAAACATTGACAAATAAAATTAATTTCCTGACAATGCGTTGTTATGAAAAGATTATGGCCACTAGCTTCTTCTATTCCCGATACCGGGGCTTGTCTATATTTTTTTGTAACTTTTCAGATTAAAAACTAAAGATAATTTATTGAAAATTAGTCTTTAGAAAGTTTCAATATGCCGTTTGCCTCATTTTGCATCAAGTTATTTTTTGATTTTTGATTTGAAAGTTGGGTGGTTTTAATTATTTTAATAATTTTATCACATAAAATACGAATTTGCCAACTTTGGAAACATTTGGTAGCCAAATGATAAGTGAAAACAACGCATTTCCATTTTTCTATAGTTATGTGAGTCAAAATAAAAAGTTTTAGGTAGATCCTCGTAATCTCAAATTAAAAACAAATTTCGTTTTAAAATTTGCAAACTTTGTCAAACAGCTTCACATTTGTCATTTCCATATAGAGAATGATCCCAAGATTTCAAAACTACTAAAAAACACAAGTTTGCCATTTAGATTTATGAAGCTATGGTCACCTCCGGTAAAACGGGAAGTTGCTAAACTTTTACATATACGTCAGAAGATGACATTTGCCAAGCCTAAACTCTAAACCTAAATTGAATTCGATCGGAAAAGAAATAAGAAAATGCCAGAGCGAAAGCGATCTCGTTGACACCTGGTATGTTTCAAAAATCACTCTTTTGTTTTTTGCTATTTATCATCGGCTCTGTCCTGGGTCATAGTCAGATCTGAATGGAAAGAAGCAACTCTGGTATAGCTTTTGAACCTTTCTGGTTTCTTATCTAACTTAAAATCTGCTTTATCAGTAGATATAAATCTTGAAGGTTAAGGAAGCAAATTATTTAGAGATGCAGCATGTTTGGGCCCAGCTATCGCCCATCTTATTCGGGTGATGAATAAGTTGTATCAATAAATTATTCAACAGAAAATGGATAACATGAACATACCAAGTTCTACCTTGAAACTCCTTATAGATCTAGATATTATTTTGATCTCATCAAAAGCAAGAGGAAAAATCCGATAAAACTTTCAAAACACTCAATAAAGCGTAAAAATGCACATTATCTCTAAATCGAAATTTTATAAGATCAAAGTAATTACCCATTACTTCAAAGTCAAGGGCAGGAAAGTACCTACAAATATCGAAATTTTTATTATGTTTGTTCCAACTATTTTTTTTTTTTCACAATTTTCTTCTCGAAATATGTAGTATCATAGTCGAACAAAATATTTCGACTTTATATAATTGAACTACATTATATGCATATAGCAGCACTTCTCAAAAAATTACTGTGTACTGCAGTTTTCACAAAATGATGGAAGACAGAAAACTTATTTCATAAATTATAAAAAAATCTAATTTTCTTATGGATACAAGAGATATTTTTTTTTTTTTTGAAAAATAAATAAAAATTTATTGTGATATAACTCCTTATGTCTGATCAAACCCAAGTCAAGAATTAGTTGCGTCTTCAATTTTTGTTTTGTTAAAAAATATATATATTTTTTTTTTGCATAATAGTTGATTAAAGAAAAAAACGTAGGTAATGAATAAGTATATCCTAGTCAACACCTATAATATTTCATGTAGTTTTAGGTTCTTATGAAGTAAATTTTAGATTTTGTGTTGTGTCATGTTGTGTTTATCTTATAAGTATATGAAAAATTAAACCGGGCCTAAGCAAGATAATTTTTGAATAAAAATTATTGAAATTATCAAGTTGAACATATACTTTCATCAAGCTTAGGCCAGGTTTATTAATCTTCAGATAACCTTGCTGGTAACTATCTGCAAGATAAATGTACCGTTTTATGATTCTATTGGTCGACGGATAGAGTAAAAATCAAACGAGAAGAAACCATTGACGTCAGCGCTGACAAAGAAGTCAGATTTCCTTTTCTCTGGGTCCCTCCCATTTAAAGTGAGACACACGATAACGCGTGTGGCTTCTTCTCGTTTGATTTTTACTCTAACTGACCAACCAATGGGATTACAGATTTTATCCGTCAGATTGCATACCTGACAGTTTACTAGAAGGTGAATAAACCAGCCCTTAATTTAATATTTATTATGGCATGTGGGTAAGTATCTACCAGATACCAATAACTTTTAGTTTTGGATCATTAAAAGGTATGTTGCATAAAAGTTATTCAAATATAAAAATGGATATTCTATGGGGAACCCTGTATGAAAACCTACACATAAATTAAGATAGATATAACTGACACTTATTGTTTCCCATATTATGTTATTTTTTTTTTAGAAAATAAAGCAGATAGCTTATATCTTTTATAGTTGTCCATAATTTTATACTTTTTTTGTTGTAACAAACAACATAAACAAAATATACATATATGTTCTAACATAATATATTATAATATATTCTCTTGTTATGAAGTGATAAAATAAATGTAAACTTTTTATATTGTAATAATTATTTGTTTATAGTCTCATGCTTTTTGGATCGAAAATAAAATAATTAAATGGTTCTGAGTACTTCACTTTCTTTCCAAAATCTACAGCTAATGGACTACAATGACCCCAATAGTTCAACTGGTAGCGACAGTCAATGGTCAAAATGGTCATCATCAGGGAATGACGACACTAAGAGTTATTATGTATTTGTATAAAAAATCAATCAAAAGTGAAAAGTAATTAAAACTATCCCAATTGGCAACAAAAATAATTTGAAGTCGTAGCAAATTCATAGTTTTTTTGAGTAGGATTCCAGACGCGAGTCAAGGAGGAAGAAGAGAAGATAATGTCAAACTGACATAAAATTTGCAACAAAAATCGCAAAAAATTAAAACGCTTCCAAGTTTTCCCGCTCCCCTACCCCAAGAACGATAAACCACAGATGATGATCACATCGGCGATTTTTTTCCGCCAGTTTAGCGCTGTAGTGATGTCACCTGGCCCACTCGAAACAAGTTTTATGCGTTATTAGTATAGGTGGATAATATGCTTTAACCAATAATGATGTTATTTTGGGTTTTAATGCAATAAATTTCGACGAATTGTATATTAAACTGGAATTTTCATTACAGAGCAATGTAACTAATACCAAATCTTTGGATTGAGTGGGTCGGAGTACATCACGCGCCCGGTCATTGACCTTTGCGGTCGACTAGAATTGGCAAACGCGATGCTTACGAGAAGCGACTATCCTCTTGTGGTTTATCGTTCTTGCCAATCTTGACCCTACCCTAGTTCCAAATTTTGCGAATTTGCAAAAGATTGAAATCTGACAGATGTCATCTTTTTGACATTCGACTGACCAATTGGATTGGTCGGTCTCCGCAATTCGTGATTCGGTGATTCGCATCAATCGCATCTATGAACTTCAGTAAAGATGTGTACATTAAAAACTATGCAGTGACGTCGCCACTGGCTAAGCAATAGGCTATTTTTCGCGACATGATTTTTTCCAAGGTTATGTTATGTTCGATTATGTTGAGTAACTTGAGGATTACCAATGACATTTGTTTTGCATTACCCAACATAATCGAACATACTAGACACTTTGAGTAGGAATTTCAAACGTATCCGCATCGATCTGCGCATGCGCAGAATTGATACTGTGGTTTCGTTGCGTTACATTGTGAGTATCGTTACGGGCCTAGCCTCGTATCCTTATCCGAAAGCGTATCTCAATCATTTGACACTATTGAGATATCTTCCTGTCAGTTATCACTAAAATAACTTTAAACAGTACGGACGCTTTCTTTTATTCAGCGATGGATCCATCAATAACCAGTCTATCTTTGTCAGGTTCATAGAAAATCGGAATAGCTGTCTCATAATGCTGGCAGCAGATGGATCCATTGCTGAATAAAAAAAAAGCGCCCAATATATAGAGAAAAAAACCTACAAACACAGCTGCAAAATCAACATACATACGATCGTTTACGTATGTATGACCATGCTTTAAAGGACTTTTAGGTGTCAACGTAAGTCGCTGCGCTTACGGATGCGGATACGGATACGTAGAAAAAATTGGGGTTTGCTTAAATTGTCTAATCTTTGGAAAAATCATGTTGCGAAAAATTTCCTTTTTGCCCGTCCTCTTTAAAGGATCGCACACACTGGCGCGATCATGGCAGAGGCGGTAGCGATATGTCTGCAGCGGGTAAGCGGACATATCGCTACAGCCAACTCCATATCCCGCAAGTGTGTGTGATCCCTAACTTCCAGCTGTACTGAGTGTTCTTATTTGTATCGAAGAGAGCTGCTCCAAGCAATCTTTTTACATCTGGCGAGGGACTTCGATTCGAATGATTCGCACTTTTTAAGCGGTCGTTCTTTTTGATAGGTGCATTTGACTCTCGGAAGATCTCTACTTGCCCCCAAATTTTAAGCAAACAAAAACACATTCATTCGGAGCGTGGAGCAATCTAATATAGGGTTCTTTTCGGCAGTTCGTAACGAATAGCTGCACAGTTTAAACAGTGTGATTTTTATACCTATCCCACAAGGTTCTCGAACGCAGCCGAGCTGATCACAAGCTATGTTCCAACACAGCAGAAGCCGTACACTGTACCGTCACGATTCTGCGCAAAGCCTAAAATTTGTGTGTAGAATCCGAAATTCGTAGGCGTGTTCTTTCAAGTCAAAATCAATTATCAATGAACAAAGTAATAGTTGTATTCCTTTCAAGACTTATGTCGCGGTTGTTTGAATTATATTTATGGCGCCAATTTTTTGGCCTTGGCCGCCATTTTAATTGGGTTGCCCTATAGGTCTGTTCAAACTCAAACACAGCAGGAAACCGTACCGCCACGAATCTGCGCAAAGACTAAAATTTGTGCGAGGAATCCAAATTGCTTATAGAGTGATTTTGGAACCATTCATGGTACGGTTTTTGACGAGGTGGAACAGACCTAATACGATGAACACTGCCACTCTGTTGATGTTTTGTTTTGAAAAACAAAAAGCGTATTTTAGCGACCAGTGAACATCATACTACACATACTACGATTCATGACGTCATAGTTACCCGAATAACAGCTGGAGTGTATTTGACAAAGGGGCTAAAAGAGGACGCCATGATCGTTGTTTATTTGGGTTTGTTAAATTTTACAAAATTTTGCGTTTTCATGTTTCAATAGTATTTATCCAGTGAAGATTCTCGAATATTTTCGATAGATTGTGTTTTTTTTGAATTTTATGGGGACCTCATGCCAAAAAAAAAATAAAATTACACTTTTGTGCACAAGTGAAGATTTTTTTTTTTTTTCAAAAAACCTCTAATAAAATCACAGAAAACCGTGGAAAAATGGGGAAAAACTATCCTCTATTTATAATGGAAAGAACTGTGTCGGTAATCGTAGTCAGCTGTTTTGCCCAATATGCTCATTTTCGTGTATTAGAAAAAGATGCACTGACATACTTACAACAAGTAACTTATCCCTTGTAGGATGGTTACATGTTTACAGCCGAGTTTTATGTTGTGTTTTATGTTGTGACGTCATAGTATGTCAGCCATGATCGCTAAAATGTAGTATCCCAAGTAAATACAACTTTACTACTGGGTTAAAACTCTCGCTAAAATACGCCTTAAAAGCTAGGTGGTCTTGGCGCATGCGAATTTTTTCACTGATTACTGATCGGTTCTTTCTTTTAAGCACAAGTGAATAAGTGATCAGGATCAGTTTCAGGTGATCAAACTGAAAGTGGAAATTGTTAAAAAGAATACACGTATGAGTGGTTTCTGGTTCCCAAACCATTCACGGGTCGGTTTTTGACGTGCTGGGGGCAGTGATGCAAGGATGATACATACTACTAAGGATGGCTTATCCTCATAAGGCCTGTGTGTAACAAATCCCCCCCTGCCCCGCCTAGCCAAAAAAGCAGTTGTGACGTAGCATCATGGCGTTTTTCGCCTTGACGTAGGCTGTTTGCACCACAGGTTATGTTATGATCTGGCTGCTGGCTGGAAATTATGAAACTAGTTTCTAGTATAATTAAAGTCTAAAATTATAAAATTATATCAGATACCTACATATAATCATGACTTTTAATCATTACTGTTGTGTTCCTCAGTGCAAGTCTTGGGCTAAAAAAAAAAGCTGACAAAGGATTGAGTTTCTACATATTTCCCCTTGAAACAGGCCACACAGGTTTATTTGGAATCGAAAATGGAAAAAGAGTTAGTGTCGAGAAGAAAAGCCTACTGCATTTTAAAACTTCGTATTGGCAAACCAGTCACCAAATTCATGAAAGTGTATTCTCTGCATCTCAAGCAAGAATTTTGTGTTAAGGTAAACAAGCATAATGGGTAGTTTTGTGCCCTAGCTTCATTTTATTAGGCCTGCTTCTAGGCATTGATCAAGTACTATCTATTTTTAAAATGTTTTGATTGAAAATATTGACTGTTTTTTTTATTTACAGGTGAGAGTACAGGTCTCAGAGGTACAGGTAGAGGTCGGATATTGAAAAAAACAGTTGTACCATCCCAGAATTTGCCCTCTTCTATAGTGATCCATAAACCGAGCCAAAAAATAGATTCCATGGGTGCTGAAAAACTTGCCAAAAGAAAAAGAAATCAAGATTCTATTGAGACTATACAAGTAATGAATGTAGTTATACTTTTAATCAATTATTAAACTCTTCTCAGATAGACATACAAATGGCCGAGCAAACAGCACAACGTGTAAAGTTTTTATTGAATCTTAATTACCAGTATTATATTGTTATAGATAGTTCGAGTAAAAATCAGATTTGTGGTCAAGTTATTTGACTTTGTTAATTTAATTTTCACCTATTAATAAATAAAAATAAAGAGTTATTTGTAAAATATTTATTTATTTATTACATATACAAGTTATTCAAATACAGACATTATAAGGGAGATACCATACCTGCCTTTAGACCCTTTTGGCAATGTCCTATTGTAGAAAGTTTACAAAAATATAAGAAAAAGATCCGGTTAGGCTGTTGTATGGATATAATCATTTCGGATCAGGTAAACGAAATAGATTATATTGAATTTTGGCCTGCATCATCACGAGCAGCATTATGGGTGAAAATTATTACCCAGTGTGAAACTTTCGAGAACAGTGAATAAATAAGTCGATATTGCATTTACAGCACATTGTTCTTCCTCGGCTGCTACAGTTTTGACCACCACATCGTTTTTTTTTACGTTCAGGAAAAGTGTTTCAATAATGATGCAGTCCATAATACCTTATATCATTATTGACTCAAAAATCACTTGCTGCAGCCCGAAGCATATTCTCCTGTAGCGCAAGGTGGTACGTTATATTTCCTCGGGTATGTCTGAAAATAAAAATAAGGTTAAAATTGTATGATTTCCCAAAAAATTGTTAATTCTACTCTACCTGTGATATATTTCCCATTCGAATAAACAATTTCTGCACTAGCACAAAAGTTGCCTAGTAGATAAGTCAAAACCACGTTCCTCATCTGCTGAATCTTAGTCAGTGAGCTCTTTGCTTTCTGTGTGGGCTCGATATAT